AGAAGGAATTTCAGTTCCTTTTTTTCCTTCAAATTCTATTTATTGTTTTTCTCTAGAGGCATATATAAATTGCTTTTGTATAGATTCTTCTTCTTAAATACTATTTTTAATTGAAAAAGCTTACTAGAGGCAAAATAGTCAATCAAATAATTGAAGTAATTTTCCCTTACCCTCTGAAACCCAAGGTTTTGTCTTAACTGCCTTGCTATTTTAGATGAAATTGTTTAAATCTGTGACTAAATGTTAATATTGTCAGTTGTATCTTTTTGTTCCACCTGTGTGCCTATTTCTTTGTTAATGTATTGGAACCACACTGGTAGGGAGCTTTTAAATAACATTTTCTTTTCTGATGACAGAAACAGTACTTGTACTATATTAAAAACTTGGACGATAAAAACACAAAGAAGAAAAAAATCACCCCAAATTTTACCACCTAGAGAGAACTACTATGAACATTCTAGTAACTGTCCTTTCAGTCTTTTGTTCCACGTATATTTTAGATTTTAAGAATGATTTTTCTTTCTTTCCTAGTCATGGCACAGATTGAAAAACAAAAGAGATTTGAACAGTATACTACCTTTAAGAGCTGCTATCCTGAAAAGATAACTGGCCTCTATTTCTCAATAAATTCTTCTGAGAAATAAAGAACAATAGTAACATCATAATGCATTTTGTTTACCTCCATCCTGGTTTCTTTTTAATTGTTCTTCTTGTTTTCATGTTTTATTTTTAAGAGGACATACTTATATAAAGATTGCATATTTTATTACGACATTTCCTAATAAAAACCTTTGATTTAAAGATGTATTTTTGAAAATGTTTACATTGATGACTAGTAATATTATGGCATGAATTTTCAGGAGATCAGATAAAATATTTTTGGGGGAATTATCTGAACAAATAAAAGGTTTTTGATATAAACTTCAATTAATTGTACCACGTGCTAATACTGAGGAGCTGTGTGGCATTTTGGACAGGGTCCGACTCAGACATACTTACAGCATAACCTATAGTCGATGGTTTGTTGCCTCTCTGTTCTAGTAAGGTGAAGAGTCAAGTCAGTTATTCAGTTACTTGAAGCAAAATGACATCTTTTATTTCAATGAAATCACTGCAGAGAGGCGTGAAATACTGGACAATTGCCTTCAGTCTTCACGTGACTCACCGGGATAGACGGAGGCTTTGGGTGTGTCTCTGTGAGCATGTCATTAGTACCTCACATGCTTTTGATGTATTTTTGAGATTGCTTTAATTTTTTTGTTGAAACGACAGTACATTTTGCACTGTAGTAATATGAGCACTGACTGTGTTGTTCGGCAGTTAGTGAATTGTCTTAAAGGATCAGTTCAGTGTAGACATTTTGAAAAGATTAAGTCTCCTGTGCTTTATGATAACTTAGTGCAATGTACACTCTGGCTTTACTTCCCATTCTCCTGCTCTTACTCTCCCTGTGACATGAAACAGAAACTGAAAGATCAACGTTGAGATTATATCCTATTGATAGTATCAGACTTTTTTCTGTGTACAATTATAGGATTGTAATCTAAACTGGAACTTTTAGGCAGTAAGCCACTATAAAATGTTTTAGGTAAGACATAACGAAATTATTATAAATAAAGTGTTAATGTTTGTAACGATATCTTTTTAGTATCTCCTTCCCACGTGAAGAAGTAGTGGTGGCTGCTAAAAGAGCTACAGTGTTTATTAAGGTTGTTTTGGTTTATGTAAATATTTGTAAATTCATCAACTCCTGTACATTTAAATATGAAAAGTAATCTTGAAAACAGTTTTAACTTTTTTCAAAATGACTGTGTACAACTTCTTTTAGACCTGCTGTAGCACAGTTTGTACCTCTCATGTATTTTGTTTTTTTGCAGACCAATTCAAATGCTAAGACTTGCTTTTCTTTGACTTGTAAAAGGTGCATATTGTCATTTTCTTCTTTAAGTTTAAATTTTTGTATGATGTCAAATGGAATAAAGTTTGTATCTGGAAATTGTCAGTGTGGTGGTGTTTTTTTTTTTTTTGTAAGCCTTTACTTTTGAGATGAAATTGAGGTTGTAATTATCATCCAGAACTGAACTGAATCCAATTAATTGTGCTTGATTATTTAGATTAGACAGAGAATCTTGGAATCAAGTTCATTCTTGGTTCACCCAACTAACCACATAAACAGCCTGTTTTTCTGGCGTAGTTAGGAATGAAGCTTTTCACAGAGGTGAATTTTTTAGATTACTGATGTTTAACACTTTAAAGCAATTAAGCTTTATGTATTCTTTTTCTTGGAAATTTTCCTAAAATGTGTGATACCCTGTGCAGCTCTTCTTTATCAGAAGGTATTGAGAATAATTAATATTCTAGTGATGACTCTAGGTAATCATTATGAATAACAGTCATAGTACTCTCTAGTAACACTGTGCAGCTCTCAGGGATGGGTAAGTGTGTAAGGCGTTCTGCCTCTACAGTATTACATTTCCTAATGAAGCCCCCAAATTTACCGTGGTGTGGACTCCTTCACTACCACTGTTTCCTTAGCTTTCGACGATCCCGCCCATCTTACTGCTGCTGCTTTTCAGCTGTGTGCCGTAACAAATCGATCAAGAAGTTAAACTTCTCCATCCTAAACCGATAGACTGAAGCCTAAGATTATGTGCCTCGTGACAGCCAAATATGTCAGATACGTGGGCTGTTATATATGAGAGCACTTTCTAGACGGTTCAGTTATTTTCAATATGAATTACTTATTTAATCATGAGGTGAATAATACATTCCTTTATTTTCTTTCTGTATTGATCTGACCATTTCTATATATTTGCATGTGTTGTTCCTCAAGAAGGTAGTGTTAGAAACTTAACGTGTAATCTGTACTGCAATTCTAAATTTTGGATTGGTTTGAACTAGGATCTTTGCAAATAAATCTTGTTGACTTCAGTTAGTGTGACCAAGCAATTTTGAGTTAAATGGAAGGAATATACAATGGCTGCCTGTAGGTTTGATGAGTATTTACCAGATTCCCACAGCTGCGATTGAATTCTTTCTGTCCGAGGTGAGCAGTCATTTGGGATGACTAATGGAAAAGCCTAGCTCATGTTCAGAGAATGGCTGTTGCTGATGTTAACCCTGGTTCAGGGAACCCTGCAAGGCTGGACTCTGCTGTCTTTCCTTCTCATGCGCACTAACTGTTGCTTCTACACTGTGTCCAAGCTATCTGCAGTGCTTTGCCCACAGACCTAATGCATGCACGTAAGCTATTGTAACTGGTGAATACTACCTTAGAGTCATCGTACTTAACAACTCTGTAAATAGAATTTGCTGTAATTAAAAAAAGAAAAAATGTGGGGGCCGGCCCTGTGGCCGAGTGGTTAAGTTGTCTCGCTCTGCTTCGGCGGCCCAGGATTTCCCAGTTCGAATCCTGGCTGCGGACATGACACCGCTCATCAGGCTACGCTGAGGCTGCATCCCACATGCCACAACTAGAAGGACCCACAACTAAAAATACACAACTATGTACTGGGGTGCTTTGGGAGAAAAAGGAAAAATAAAATCTTAAAAAAAAAAATGTGGCTGTTCTAGCCATAAAATCATATTCATGAAAAGAATGTCTTTATGTATTGTAAAGATTCCTCTACCTGTTTGCATACTCAGCAGGTTTGGTCCCGTTCTCTTCAGGGAACATTCATTAAGCACCTACTATGTGCTAAGTACTTCGCTAGTTTCTGGGTTGTAAGAGATGGGGATGGTGGGACAAGGATGAGTAACAACCTTACAAAGTGTAATGAGGGAAGGAGACACAGAAATAATTTGAATATAGGATAATGTGGGAACCTGGAAGAGCGGTATTGCACTTAACCTGGAGATTTCAGAGAAAGGTGTGGTCTTGAATGATGAGTAACCAGGTAAATAAAGGGGGAAAAACCTTTCAGGCAGAGGGAACTGCGTGAATAAATGCACAGTGGTGTGACTTGATGGATGTTGGGTACTCCTGATGTCTAAAGGAGAGCCCAGGTGTACATTATTAAATATCAGTCTACTGACCGCATCATGTACACCTGAAATGTCCACAATGTTATAAGCCAATATGATCAATAAAATAATTTAAAAATAAAGAAGAGACTAGACAGGTAAGACGTGGGCTGTTGTGCAGGGTTTATCTTCCCAAGGAGCTTGGGCTCTAGTGTTCGAGCAGGGGGAAGCCATTGAGGGGTTTTAAGCATAGGCAATGATGTGACCCAACCAAAAGTCTAGGGCCTTTGAGTTGAATTTCAGACAAAACAGCCTTTGGCCAATGCGGGGGAAATGATTCCTCTTCAAGGTTTAAGATTAGTGGAGATAAAAATTTCCTGGCTGAACAATACAGGGGTCACTGAGGAAGAGGAATACACAGTTTATCGATTGGCACACATAAAGGGAGCCAGTACTGAACAATGGTTCACAAGTGGGCTTTTGAAACGGGTAGATCTAGCTTTGTTTCCAGCGGGGTCACTTTGCTATCCGGACACCTTGAGCAAGCTAGCTACCCAAGCTCTTCTGAGCCTCAGGTTTCTCATCTCTGAAGCCAGCTTTGCACTTAAGCCCACCACAGCAGAGTTGTGGGGGTGATGAAAGCGAGCCCCGTTGCCGAGTGCCTGACCTAGCAGGCGCTCTGCTCATTGAGGAGTAGGTACTACTAGGCTGGGATAAAGGGCCCAACAGGTAACTCGGCTGGAATCATCAACCTACCAGACCCACTCTGGAGGGAAGAGAGGCGGGCCGGCGCCTGCCCCGGCTCGCCTCGGCTGCGGCCAGCCTGCGCCCCTGGGAGGGTGCTCCGGGGCCCGCGGGCCTGGGCCGGGGAGGGCTCGGCAAGTTGGCAGACGCGCGGGGAGGAGGAGAAGCTGAGCCCGGGCCCCAGAGGCGCGGTGGCGAAACTTTTGACGCCTTCTATTTAAAGTCGCGGGCTCGCCCGCCCCCGGGCCGGGAACCCGAGCCGCCCTCCGGGGCCGCGCGGGCCGGCGGCGCAGTCCGAGGGAGAACAGCAGGCGCGGCGGCGGCTCCGGCTCCGGCTCCGGCCCCGAGGCGCGATGGCGAGCAGCGACAGCACCCACGCCGGGGAGAGCGCCTTCCGCTCCGACGCCGACGAGGAGGCCCCCCGAGCGCTGGAGACCGAGGAGGAGTCGGAGGGCGAGGAGGGCGAGGACACGGCCGCGGAGTCGGAGGAGGAGCCGGACGCCAGGTAGGTGGTCTCCCGCGGGCGCGGCGAGCGCAGGCGGCCGGGGGGCCGCGCCCGGCCCGGGCCCGTCTTTTTCAGCTGGAGTTCGTTTCCCTGCATCTCAGCGCTTTCTCTCTGGGGGCGCCGTCTTGGTAAAGAACTGGAAGGTGAAGGTGCTGGCTGTCAGCTGGAGTGACAGGCCCGCCTGCCGCGGCGAACTTCCCCCCCCTCCCCCCCCCGCCCGCCCCCCAGCCCGGCTCCTTGTGACCGGCGCTGTTGCTCATTCCTGCGGATTTGCTTAGGGTCCCGCCGAACTGCAGGAATGTGCAGAAACGCTTGCATTTGGCCCAAGGCACAGGCACAATCTTGAAAGACGGAGCTAGAGAGAAGGGGGTATGAGGTAGGCGTGGAGGCAGAGGCAGGGAAGGCTGCTCTGGAACCTTCAAATGCCTGGAGGTCTCTTGGATGCCTAGCACGGGGCCAGGCTGCTATAAGGGGACTTTATTTTGGTGCAAAGGCCCGTAAATTATTTGAAGAAAAGAAGCATGAGTTTCAATAACCCCTGTTCTTAAAATCCTGCTTCTTTTTCTCATGGTCCCAAATATCAACGTCTCAATAAATGTGAACCTGGTTGGGTAATACGAGATGAACACATAGGTCTCCCTCCACTTGCAGCTCCTTCCCTCCCAACCTTCGTGAAGGCCCTGAAATGAGAGCAGTGGGACTCATCTCCTCTCTGTACGGATTTGTTTCTACTTTCACTTATTCTCTTTGAGTATGGGTTGTGTTTTTGTTTTGTCAGTCAGCGATGGCCCTTCCTGAATCTAAAACTATCAGTAGAAAGGCTCTCTGGGTGACAGATGGATGTGCAGCGTTTCAGAATGCCCATCTTACCCAAAGTGAAAAGTGTTGCCCGACCAAAGCCAGCAGAGCTGATGTTGAAATGCTCAGAAAGTGTCATTGATTAGGGTGAATAGTCAGTCAGATAAGAAGTCTGAAATACCGGCCACATATTTACCAAGCAACTACCAAGGGGGGAGTGGGCACAGTGCCTGCCCTCAAGGACTTTACGGAAGAAGTTAGAGAGCAATACGGGGAGCATGAGACTATGTGCTGAAAAAATGAGAGGGATGGGGAGGACCAACCTCGGGTTCTGTGGAAGGTCAGAAGAGAGTGTAATGGCCTTGAGAAGAAGGGGCACGACCTGGGCCTTAGAGAACGGGCAGGAGACGCAGAAGAGAAGGCACCTGTGGGAAATGGAACGGGGAGTAGGGACCTGTGAGTCTTGGGCAGTGTTGAAAAGGGGAAATCTGTCAATCCCAGCCTTTATAATCTTTCCCTTAGTGGTGTCCGGGATCCTCATATCCTTGTCCAACCAACATTTACCCACAGGGAATCTAAAAACTCATTTACCCTAAAATGTGAGCAGCTGACAATGATGCAAAGCTCCACTCTGAGATTGCATTGTGCTCTGACCAAGGTCAAGATCTTCAGGTAAAGATTCATCTGCAGTAAAGTTCAGCTTGCTCTGACTACAGATGTAAGGTGGACACCAGGGCAGGGGGCAGAATGAGCAGAGTGGAGGGAAACATAAGGGAAGAGGTGTGGGGAGGGGGACCCTTGAAAACCATCACATTTTTTTGTTTTGGATTTGATGATGCGGGTAACAAGAAATCAGTAAACTTCCGAACAGGATTTAGGAGAACAGATTGGTGTTATTGAAAAATTAGCCTGATGGGCAGATTAGAAAGTTGGGTTTGGGGAGGGCTCAGCTCAGACGGGCAGCGGCAGAGGGAAAGCAAGGAGACGTCTAGGGACTGAACCACAGTGGGGGCGAGGGCAAAGGAGGTGGTAGCTGTAAGTAGAGGTAGAGAGGTGTCAGTGGGGAGCACCTCCTAAGGGAGCTGGGAATCCCTGAGTTTCTCCTACTTCAAAGCTTTGTCAGAAATCAAACTGTCTTGTTGTGTGTGTTTGCAAACATAGCCTAAGCTCTTTTTCCTTCTGACACTAGAGGTGAGAACTAGGAATGTTCTCTAAAGGCTGGGAGGTAAGAATGATGTTCCCTCATTCTTCACCCCGTCCTTCGTGTCTTCCACCAAAGTTTTACAATTAAGGGAGGGCCCAGCCCACTCTCTCTGTGCCGGTCTCGGTGCTAAGTGTTAACATGTGTTTTTCATTTTAAACCCCCCCAGCAACACTGTGAGGTGACTGTCCTGCTGCAGATGAGGAAAGTGAGGCTCTTTATCATTTGCTGGGTTTAAGGCAGGTAGACGTAAGAACTGAGATGTGAGTTTGGGTCTGTTTACTCCAAGCCACCGCCAGGCTTTCGCCACCTCCCTGCCTTTGCAAGAGGGAGCCTTCCTTACTGTTGGTGAAACTCGAATGGCTCCAACTAGCTTCCACGACGAAAGGGCAGAAGAGCAAAAGGAAAGACCTCATCCCTTTGAATAATAGTGGGAGTTTTCCCCCTTCTTGAATGGAAAAGTTGCCTCTGCATTTTCTCAGAGGTTCATAAATATTGTGGAAACCTTAAGGATGAAAAAGGTTGATAGTGGTTGTCTCCGAGTGATGGGGTAATGGCTAAAATGTTTTCTTTATATTTATCTGTATTTTTCAGTTTTTCTATAATGAACATATAGTGCATTTTATCATCAGAAAAAATAAACTTTACTTTCAAAAGTTCAAAAGGCACAAAGTGTAATCTACTTGTAAATCTTTTCTTTATCCTTTCAGGGACCATATATAGAATTATCTACATCCACCTTTCTGAATCAAGGGAAAAAACCCCTTTAATTATAAAAATGCTTTTCCAGTGCAGGAAAGCTCACCATTCCACATGCTAATACTTATATTGGATCAAAGAACTACCCTTCCAATGTATCACTCAGTGATATGAATATGCCATATGGCATGAAGAGGCCCGCGTGTGGATCCTATTAGCCATTCTATCATGGGAAAATTCCGTATGCTCCCTGAGCCCCAGTTTTCTCATCTATAAAATGGGAGTAATAATTCCTAATTCATAAGGTTGTCATAGGATTAAATAAACTATGGGAATGTGTGTAGGAGTGCTCAGCCTTTAGGAGGTTCCAGTAAGTTTAGTTTCTTACACCCCTTCAGATGAATCGGTATTGGCAGCAAAGCTTTCCCTTCTGCCCACCATTCCTCAAAGAGGGGAGAGCGATGGTCTCAGTTTTCAATGTGAGTAATGATCCTGTTTCACTTTGGCTTCCCTGTGTTCATTCATTCACGAAATCTTCATGGAATGCCAGCTGACGTGGACCATGCAAGGTGCTGGGGATACAAAAATTCCTAGAATCCATTTCTGTCCTCAAGGTGTTCACATTCTAGGTGGAGAAAATAGAAGAGATTTCAGGAAGAAAAGGTCTGTATGAAGCTCCTCAGTGGGGAGAAAGTCCTGGGCCATCCAGCCTAGAAGGACTGGGGAAGGCTTCACCTGGGGCCTTTTGATCAGGGTCCTCGCTTGTCTTGAAGTGCCCAGAGGGCCTGTCGTTTGTGGATGGCAAAAAGAGATTTTCGGGTTGCTTAAATGTCATACAAAAGTTGTATGTGAAAAGCAGATAAACCACAGGATGTAGAGCTGCGAGAGGCTTAGAAACATCTTTCCCCAACCAATCCTGTTATGGATGCAGAAACGGTGTTAGGAGACATGGGTTCAAAGTCCACAACTTTTTTATAGTACAAGTGGGATTAGATCCAGGTGTCTGGACTCCAACTGAATGTTAGTTTATTCCTCCAACAGATGTGTATTGAACTGCTACTATGTGCCAGGCACTTTCTAGGCACACAGGGTACAGACTGAACGAGATGAACAGAGTTCCTGCCCTCCCAGGAGTGACTTTCCAGTTTGGGGAGACAAATAAACAAATGCATAATGTGTCGGGTAGCAGTAAGTGACCTGAGCACAAATACAGCAGGATCAGGGTTATACCGTTTTGGATGAGTTGGTGAAGAAAGCCTCTCTGATGAGTTGACATTTGAGCAGAGATTGAAGGAATGAATGTTCTCAAGAAAGGGAAGAGCTGGTGCAAGGGCACTGAGGCAGGAATGTGTGGCTTGTTGGAGGAACACTAGGAGGTCAGGTCGCTGCAGCAGACTAAGGAAGGGGGAGAGTGGTGGGAGATGAGTGTGAGAGGTAGTTGGGTTACAGATCATGTAGGGCTTTGTAGGCCGTAGTAGGGCCTTCAAACTGTATCCTGAGTAAAATAGGAAGCTGTGTACTGTCTAGCATATCACTCAAGGTTGAAAAAAACCCAAGATAAACGTGGCAATTGCAGTATTCCATTAAATAGTAACCCCCCAAATGTTCATATATTCATTCAACTGATATTTCTCGAACACCTACTATAAGCCAAGCACTGTGCTGAATGTTTCAAATCCTGGTCTCCCTTATGGAGGGAGATATGTAAACAGACACTCATTATTTTTATGTTTTTCTCACTGTAGACCCATGAAGCCCGACTCTTTTAGTCTTTCTCACAGATCACTTAGAAATTTTTCAGTATTTTTGTTTTGGATCATTTTCTGTTGGTCAATTTTAAATTCTCCATTTAAATACAGAGGATTTTTTGCCACAGCAGTATCAAAAACTTAAAAATCACCTTTAATTGCAGCTTTGCCCATGCCGGTATAAAATAGATCTCTCTAAGCTGGTAGAATTAAAACTGTTAGTGACATTTCCATTTAACTAATCATTGTAGGAAGCAAACCTCTTGGAAGGTGAAGGGGTTTGTAAATGGTTTTTGTTATCGGTACGGAGCGCTCTGTTTCCATGTATCTATTTATATGGTGTCTCCCACTGCTGTGCTTACCTAGGTGTTTTGACAAGTGTGTTATCTGAGCTGGCGCTCTTTTGAGGTCAGTGGAAGGAGCTGAGATAGGAGGGGTGACTGCTCAGGATGCCAGAGACTGAGGGCGGAGAGAGGATAAAACCCAGGCGCTTGGAGCCATAAACTGAAGAGCTATTTAAGTGTTGGCTGCATGGGTATCACATGCCCTTGGTA